TCTTGTTTTCCTGCTTTTTTCAAGAGGAATTACACTTCAAGCCCATCGGTTTACTGCTTCACTTTCCTCCCCGAGAACTGTTTTCCTCAACATCCATGTCAGTTAGCAGCATGTTAAACAAATCACATCTAAAGGCAGAGCTGCCTTGTGATTTTGGTTACAAAAAAAACGATGATAAACAAGTACAACAGCAACAGTGCTAGCAGCATCACATATTCAAGGCAACGAGGCAACCGATGTTCTCCACTTCAGCACATCAGAGGCGTCCCTGCATCAGTCGCCCTAAAGGTACCCGTTTACAAAGTGATAGGGCTTAGGGTTTTTAACTCGGGGCGAGAAGCTGATTTGAAACCCCCTCTGCTGCCAAGCACATGGACGGCTGCTGATTAGAAGAGGGTTGGCAGCAGTGGGCAGATGCCAGGCGGGGAGAAAGATGACGGCCTGTCGCCAGTCTGCCACCCAACCCCTTACCTCCCCCAGCTGCCCCCTCCCCTACTGACCCTCCCCCATTGTACAAAAAAAAAGACCAAAGACATTTCAGCGACAAACCCGAATGGGGGATGGGATGAATTGTAGTAGTGCTTTGTATCAAAATGCAGTAAATGTGACTCTGTTGCGACATAAAACATTGACTTTTTTTTTACATATCTCAGTTGTTTTGATCATATGAAGCTGACAATAAGTCTGCATAGCTGACTTAGTTGCACAATTGAAGATCACAATGCAGTTTTTCTTATTCCATCTTCACGCCCTCGCACAAACATAACACTTTGTGCAAGTTTGGGATACTGAACATTCCTTCATCAACCCACAGAGGATAAAACATTTTGAGCTTTTTTGGGTGTTTCAAAATCAAGAGAGTAAGTAGTCATGTGGAGAATAATATGTGTTGTTCTCGACTGATGCAAAATTGAGACTTTGTCCATCTAAGATGAATACACCTCACTCAATATAAAACCATAGGATGAGTTCAAAGTTAAGACTAAAAGGTGGAAAAACTCAATGCACTGTTCTAATGAGTGTCAACAGCGTGGAGGCAATGGTCACTGTGAACAATAGTCCGGCTCCGTCAGGCTTTAATCATACTGCTATATTCCTGACCGTATTGATTTCAGACCAGCTCAATATGACTACATAACTAGTCCATTTATCTGCTACGCTTCTGCGCTGTTAGTCATGCACCTACAGCCGTGCGTAGTTAGTGTTAGACACACACACACACACACATGCATTTACACTTTTACCCAGCTCCACCCCACATTGCCCCCAAATGCACCCACATAGTTAAAACACAAACCAATGCAAGTCATGGAAGGGCCACAACAGCTGCACTGCAGAGCTTCAAACCTCAAACGCGTATGAAAAATGTGAAATCAATATTTATTTAGTCATATGTGTAATAAACAAAGGGCATGACATCAAAGCTATATCCTTTGGCTATTCAATTCAACTTCTGGCAATTTGCTCTACCATAAAGGGTAAGCAGTTAGCAATCATCAGCCAATCCAATACAAGCAACTCTGCCAGTTTGATATTATTCAGTGGTAAATTCTGTTGGGAAAAAAATAAATGAGAAATCAATATCTGTTTCCTTCATTCATGAAGGGTGACATTTTTCATAAAACGACTGTTATGGAGTTATATGGAGTTAGCAGAGGTAGAAAAAGTTCTTTATCCATTAATAGGCATATGTATTTATAGTATGAGATCAATTAATTACAGGTGTGTCTGATTTATTTTCCTTTTAGCAAATATTTAAAGCTAAATAATTGGAGGAAACTTCTTTTAACTGTGACATTAAAAACAAAATGAATGGCAAAACTTGTTTGTCTTTTAATATTGCACTTTTATTAACGTATACGTATTAAAGTAAAAATGCAGCTCCTCCTAGACATTTAAGCTAATTTTGAATATTATGTCAGTAAAACAAGCACAAACTTTATTTTTCATCCATGTTAATACCTTATTACCACTCACCTCAACATCATCAACAAAAGTGTCATACCGTATTCATACACAGTGTTGAGAGTCACCACAGATAATTTGTATTAGTCTAAAGTGGCGATAAGGTCATGCAAGACGGGGTATCATGACCCTACATCTTCTTACTTGTCTGCCTCTCTGTCTGTCTGACCTGATGCTTTTCTGTCTTGCTTCATCCGCTTGCCTTACTGTCTCTATACTCTCGATACTGTCTTCATCTGTCTGCCTTGTCTTTCTGCCTGCCTGTCTGTCAATCCCCTCTGCCTCCCATCTCCTATATCTCCTATATCTCCATCAGCCTGGGACTAAAATATCTTAGGAGCTCCAGCCTGCCTGAAACTGAGACCTGGAATGCACTACTGCGGAGTTCAACACACACACACACACACACACACACACACACACACACACACACACACGTACACACACATACCACAGTTATACACCTTAACAGACCAACAGGTGCACTTTCACACTGACAAAATGCATATGTGCACTTAGAAATTTACATGCACACTCATATACATGTACCATTATATACACTTACACACAGGCAAGTGATAAAAAAGGTATCTGTGCATACACAGACACACACACACGCACACACACACACCTACACACACTCACCGTGATGGTACAGCACTGATGTCTAGCTTATGGTCTGTGTGTAGAGGAGACAGTGCCCCCTGGTGTGGGCCAAACAGTACTCCCAGTCAGACACATATTGACCCTATGTTAGGAACACTCTAATTTACTCTTCTGGGATTGATTAGTCCTGCCTGAAACAGTGAAACCACCTATATCTTCCTGAAAAATATACAAACCATTTCCTGAATGGAAGTCAGACTATTAAAAATAATACAGGGTACAATATATGATCAGTCTCTCCAAAAACATGTACAACTTACTTAGGCTGTTTACGCTGCAGTGAATGATCATTCACATATCCCTGCATATTGAAGGCTAACTGACCTTTATACTGCTTCATCCTTGTGATCATGGTGTTCACTAGGTACTAAACTGACTTGAGTACACTGTCCAGTTCGGGAATATGGATAAACCAGTACCAAAGCTTCTAATACAAAGTGGTAACTATGCCAAGCTTTCAAAAATGCAATCAGAAATTAGAAATGAATTTGCTCTTGTATATAAACATTGCTGTGACCAAAAAAGTAAGTTAATTTCCTTTAACGTTAATCTCTCAGGAACCAGACTGTTTTTACAATCGTATCATATGTACTACAACTGATGTGATTGTTAGGCTTATGTATTTGACACTAGTCTCAGAAAAGGTACTTTTATGGTTGATATAATGTGTCGGTTAAATATTTATTTGCAAAATAAAGATAGCAGTTGGATTGAAAAAAAACCAGTATCAACAGACTTTTTTTTAAAATATGGTTTATTTCACTCATGGGTGCTTAGGTGTGTTAAACAAATACTGCAATTCCTGACATGGTCTACACTGTACTTACACACATTCATTATGTTGTGATAAAAACACGTGCTATTACACATCATGTAATAGTCATAACACTGCCATGTCTCCTTTCAATAGTCTAAATGGAAAAATTGCATCGGTATGTCTGCAATTATGGACATTATGGGATATTGTGTATTATGAATCAAAACTGAAATATATTAAGATTACTTTTTGGGCTCCTTTTTGTGTTACAACACATGTATGTATTTAGGTGTAATAAATAAATGAGTCAGTCCTGCTAACAGGCGAGCTGTATTGCACCTATTTAAATTGTGCTGTTGCTGTTTACAACACTGTCAGACCACACTGCAGTAGAGGAACAAGCACCTGATAGATGAACACATTCATTCCGATGAATACTGATGAGGAAGACTGCTAGGCCACTCTTCTTCCCAGTAGTTGCCACCTTGACTGCTCGTTCCAAAACCGCTGTCACAGTTTCAGGTTTCCACCATGCTGTGCTGTATTGCTTGTCTCCAACAGAGGTCATTAAGCCTGTAATCACAGTAATAAAGGACAAGGCTGTGCCCTGTTTTGCATGCAGTCCAAACGTGCGTTCAAATACACACAACGGTGTCGACAAGTGAGTGCCCAAACACACTGAGTGCACGAGCAAAAGCTGTCAAACTTGTCTAATACAATTGCGCACAGGGACGGTGCTGATTGTTACTTGGTGTCTGTATAGACTAGAGGAGAGGATGTCCCTCATACAACAACAATCACCACCATCAGCTTCATTATTCCTAATGAATGTCATTGGAATAATAAGGGGTGAGTGTATTTGAGGTGTGCTAAGTGGTAGAAATTAAGGAGCCGGGTACGCCTCCCGCAGACCAGAGCGCGCACTTCCTGACGAGCGCGCACACGTATCGGTGATCGCACACATGGATGTGTCCGCGTCTGATCGTTGGATTTACGAAATAGCCAACTGCAAGCGGAGAGCACTGGTCATGTTACTCTCTCTCTCTCTCTCTCTCTCTCTCTCTCTCTCTCTCTCTCTCTCTCTCTCTCTCGCACAGTTGTAACGCAGTAACAGTTGTGTGTGCACAGGTGTGGCAGTTTTGATCACACAGATGCTGTGTGCCACACTCAACCCGACCGTAAAACAAACAAAATTGATAACCCAACGGCACAAAAATGATGATTAAAACAGCCGAACTAATTGTGTTCTTCTCTTTCTCTCCCTGTCAGACTGATGCTGCAAATATAACAAGCAATGCACTGTTTCGCACAAAACATTCGAAAAAACTTCATTTTAAATTCTGATACAGATCATCTGTGCGGTGAATTTCCCTGTAACAATTGACAAAAACAGCAGATTATTATTCTCTAGAGAAATTGTTCTTAAAATCACGTTAAACTAAACGACTCTCGTTAGATGTCTGGTCCCTACTTTTTGCAGTGTGGAGTCTTGGTTTTGTTCCGAGGCTCCATATCTATATGGCAGAAAGGGGGCGGGGATGGGATATTCAGATGAGCCGGAGTGACAGGTCCAGTTTCCCCCAATGCTCTGTGTGTCTGAAACTCCACTGGCTCCTTCCCTCCTAACTCCTCACTTCATAGTGCTGCGTACTAAAAACATCGGACGCTAGGGGATCAAGACGCATGCCACATTGCCTCTATGTGTGCACTTTAACAGATCTTTCGGGGTTTTTTTTCCCAGTAAGGGGGCTGTCGAGGGAGGACTTTTTTGTTTCCATTGTCTGATGACTGTTTGCATGGCTGCTTATTGAGTTGATTGTTTATTATTTTGGCTGCTGTTGATCGCCGCCCTGCGCGTTTTTTCCTCCCGTTTTGGAATCGGCGACCTATCCCGCGCTCACCAATGTCCTATCCTCAGGGTTACCTCTACCAGCCCCCGGGCTCGCTGGCTCTTTACTCGTGTCCGGCTTACGGGGCCTCGGCTCTGGCTGCCCCGCGGAGTGAAGACTTGGCGAGGTCGTCCTCCGGCTCAGCTTTCAGTCCTTACCCTGGATCGGCTGCTTTCTCCGCCTCGGCTGGTGCAGGCTTCTCCAGTCCGCTGTCATACTCCACGGATCCAACTACGGGATTCCCATCATACATGGTAAAATACATTTATGTACGATTCTGTATGATTAGGCTCAAAACCCGGAGAAATTGTCGGCGAGTTTAAGTCTGGAGCTGTCTTTCAAGGGTGATTACATTTGTACAGCTTTGCAATGTTTTTGTTATGATTCAATCATCAGTAAGTGCATGCGGAACTTTTATTGGGTGCACGGTTGCTATATTTGAAAAATGTAGTGGCCTACTCGTTGATTTCTTACTTTAAACCCCTTTTGGCTTAAGTAGGATTTTTAAGCATGAGCTGCAAATTGTAATGGCTTGACCAACGCTAAACACTCACTGCGCAGCTAATTATGTAAAACCGAACACCAACTTAGATTTTTATTTGAGCCTTTAGCCTCTAAGCAGTTAATTTGTGTGCCATTGGAAATTAATATGCCACAAGCTATTACTCTTCCTTCCACAGCAGTCATTAAAATCACCAATGGATGAAGTCGCGGACTTTATTCTGAGTTGAATAAACGGAATTTTAACATGAAAAGCAAGACGTGCAATGCTAATGTCACAGGGCACTTCAAGCGTTTTATGAAAGGTGCATAGCAAGTGATTTGCTAATGGGATTTGTAATGCTGCAAAGAGAAGATATGTTAACACATCGGGGCTGCCACCAAACAAAAAGCAGCCACTGCAGAAAATTATGAAGTTAATAGGCGATTAAAGACAATTGAAATTTCCTTTTTATTATCTTAACGGTATATTAACAGGAGCCCTGTTGTTAGTTAATCTGATACTAATCTTAACCATTAGTTAACTATTAGTTTGTGCTTCTCTGCGGCCTGCTTTTACGCACGGTGTGTTTTTTTTACTTAACGAGTAGCTTTGATAAATTGTCAAAGCACAACATTAATTATTGATTGCTTGTTTATTTTCAACCATACACTGCTCGTCATTATCAAGCCCAGATGATTTATACTAATACAGGATAAGATCTGCCGGTGCATTTACACTACTCTCCAGCCCATTTTAACCTGTTCCGACAGGTTCTAATAAACAAATGACTGTTCATTTATTTTGAATGTATTGCTCCGTGTTTTTAAATTATTTTAAATTATGTAGGGTTGTTTTGTTAGTCATAAGCCACATTCATGACACATTTAAAATACAATAACATTTTAAACAACGCTGGAAAACACATGATGACTTTTTCAACTTTCCCCCAGAGCTCTCCGTATGACGCGCAAACGTCAGGCATGGCCGGGGCATTAAGTTACCACCCATACGGGAGTCCAGGGTACCCCTACCAACTCAACGACCCGGCATACCGCAAAAACGCCACCAGGGACGCCACGTCCACCCTAAAAGCTTGGCTGCAGGAACACAGGAAGAACCCGTACCCAACGAAAGGGGAGAAGATCATGCTGGCCATCATCACAAAGATGACCCTGACGCAGGTCTCCACCTGGTTCGCCAACGCTAGGCGGAGGCTTAAGAAGGAGAACAAGATGACATGGGCGCCCAGGAATAAGAGCGAAGATGAGGACGAGGAGGACGGGGACGGAGACAGGAAAGAAGTGGAGCGCTCTGAAAAAAATCTGGAGAACAGCGAGGCTTCAGCGGAGGATGAAGGTGGGGTATAATCTGGCGACCGAGCCAATGATCCATTTAACAATTCGGGGTACGATGGGTCTCAAAGGGAGGGAAGGGATGGATGCCCCTTTTATCTACTGCTTAAGTTGCTTAGTGCAAGAATACTGATTCAAATAAAACAAAATTAAGAATATGTAATTATCAAAAAAAACATACAAATAATCTGGTTTGAATATATATTTTTATCTCTAAAATCTGGCTTCATGTATTGTTTTACCCGTGTTGATTTATAAATATATATATTTGAATGGAAACAAGGTTCTAAGACTAAATGACTAAGGTCACGGTGAACGTTTTATTGTCTTTTATATGATTAATGGCAGGTCATTGGAAACGTACACATAACAATCCCCATGAGTGGCCTCAATGTTAATGTTATTATCCTAGTGTCATTTTTGTATAATTACGTAAAATACGGAAATAATTATTGGTGTCATATTAACTGCTTTTAATCGTAGCCTACTATTTAAACTGATATGACTAATAATATCGTACCCTGGTTGGTTGGAAAACAGCATTGATTGCTTTGACTACACATGTACAAGGAATATGGCACATCTACAACAAAATATGTTTTTGTATATTTGTATATATTTAGTTGAATTTCTCAGCTTCTGTAGGCTATTTGTTTTTACTTTCGAATATGGCTTATTATTATTGAATAGGGTATATATTTTCTCATATATATCCTTGAATTGTATATATTTATCTAATTATTTACATATTCCAATCATTATTATTATATTTCCCCTCCTGTCTCAGGTATCAGCTTGCACGTCGACACTCTGACGGACCACTCCTGTTCGGCAGAGTCTGACGGGGAGAAGGTCAGCTGTCGCGTGGGGGAGCTGGGCTCTGACCGGGCCGGCGACGAGGACGGCGAGGACCAGAACCATGAAGCGCGAGCTCAGCTCTCACCCGTGTCCGTCACATCGTCGCCTCTGACGGGAGTAGAAGCTCCACTTCTCGGTCATCACCACCACCACCACCTCCAACAACTCCACCATCTCCACAGCCAGCGCGAGGATTTGGCCCGAAGCCTCATCAATAACAACATTAATACCAATAAATCGTCTTCCTGCCTTGATAGCAGACCCTCACCTCAGAACCCTACGGTCAAGCCCAAATTGTGGTCTCTGGCGGAAATTGCTACCTCGGACCATAAGCAGCATCATCAACAACTGGGACAGAATGGGCCACCAAATTGCCCCTCCTCCAGCGGTGGCCTCCTTACCCCCCCTACGTCTTCCACCACCTCCCCGGCTGCCAGTTCCCCCTCCCTCTACCCGGCCCCCTCCATCCTTGGAAGACCTATTTATTACACTTCTCCCTTTTATAGCAATTACACAAACTATGGCAACTTCAGCCCCCTGCAGGGCCAAGGGATCCTGCGGTATACTAATTCATCAGGAGTGAGTCTGGCTGCTGCCGCTGCCGCCGCCGCCGCTGCTGCTGCTGCAGCAAACGAGGGTCTGAGCTCCTCTCACCAGGCTCTGGAGGCTGGCACAAACCCCAAACACAGGCCAGACTCTCCCCTCGTTAAAATTAACCCAAACCACATTGTTGTTGTCGAGCAGCAGCAGCAACAACCGCATTTCAGACCCTCAAATTTAGAAGCAAAGAAAGGTACGTAATAGCATGACGCGCTGAACAAAATGATAAGCATTTTGAAAATTAATTTAATCTGGTGTTGAATCTTGAGATTGTATTTTTTCTTAAATGCGGAAGTAAAACGAGTCACTTGTTTGCAATGCAAATCAACTGGGTTTTCTTTTTGTCACTTTCATGTGTCTTAGTAGTCATACATGCAAAAATTAACACTTCTTTCAAGCCAGCTTGCATGAGACAGAAGTGGGATAATCTTCCACTATTTGCGGATTATCACTTGTTTTAAAATGACTACGATTTTAGGACTGATTATGGGACTAAGTTACTTATTGAAATTGATATTTTACAGCACCGTCAAAGCAAACGAACATGTAGGCCTATAATCCGTTGTCAGCGCAGTGCATTTTCTTGAATAATCAATTAATTATAATTTATATATATTTAATAATACATGTATTTTGGTCTGTCATTAAATCATTAGGCATTGCATTAGAAAGCAGTAGCAGATATGTTATTAGACAAGTGTAGGTATAAACTGCAAACACATGTGCCTACACTTGCAGATAAAGACATTAACATACACCATGGAAGACAGGCCTCAAATCAACCTAACCACACACACTCACGCACACACGCGCGTGCACACACAGTGGCAGTTTGTGAATCCAATAAGTGGAGAAATGTTGCCATACCTTTGACCAGAAATCCTATTTTTTAATGTTTCCTCTGATGTGTGTGTGTGTGTGTGCGCGCGCCCCAGACTTTATCTTTCAGTTGGATAATTATAATTACACAGGGTCAGCCAAAAGCAAACAAATCACAGTTTGCTCTGTGCATTCATCGGGGAACTTTACATATTCTAATGTCACTTGGGTTATTGTGTGTTTTTTTGTTTTGTTTTGTATTTTACCGGTAATTAGGCAGTGGGGATTTTAGTAAGCACTTGCAGTATCGATATGTTTTTGGTAGAGCCAGCCTGAGAGAACTTTGTGTTTCCTGAGGTTGTGGAGGGAGTCGATCGGGTGGGATTGTTTTATTTCCATGGTCTGCAGGTAGGTGTCACAATTGCTTTGACTATAAAGCGAGTAAAGACACCACCTTTTGGCCCCATGTTTTAACCCCCATAACCTCTACTTCATACCGGATCTAGTGCCACCATTGAGTCGAATTGAAAGCTGCTACCACCTCCTCAGCTCCACAGAGGCTGAGACACTCTCTACATCACGTTTGTGAGATTATTGATGTATTATTTCATTGTTGTTGTTTTTTTTGACGCATTGTGGATACTCTTTACATAACGCTGGTTTGAAAAACATCTCCTGTTATGTGATTTACATGTTATTTCTCAGGTTCCTATAGTTAGCTTATTTGCCACGGTATATTATTTTAATACATATTCACGTGTGGAAAACATAATTTGGCCTTTCTGTGAAACCATATTTGTAAAAGGAGGAGTCTTGGGACGCAAAGCGAACGGGACTGAAGTGAACTTGAGGACTTCAAAGTGGAAAAGCCTACATTTGATATTTATTTTTTTAAGTGATGGCGACATGATGCCTATAATTTATGCAAGTTGTATTGCAAAAATGGAAAGCTGACATCGTCTGTTTGTTTGTAAATATATAAACATATATATTATGGACGGTTTTTATTTGAGACGCATTTGGGAAGAAGCTACACAATCTTGTTATAAGGAGTACTTTTACTAATTTATATCTTTGAATGTAAATGAAATAAAACGCGCTGGTATAGATATACTGGCGGGGTATGCTATCCAATATTCAAAGGAGAAAATATTAAACTGTTTTCCCAACTATATCAATCCTGGGGAGTCATTTTTTTTAAATGTACAACAGACTTGTATTTAACGCTAAGGCATTTTTGTATTTACTCTGCTCATTGTTCTTTTTATTTTTACAGTCATACGCAGATGGGGAATTCTTGATGAATATCGCTTTTCATAAACATTATGAGTTTTCACAGATTGCACAATCCATTCTTTCTAAATGGACCGTGCTTTTCTTTTTAGGGCCTCATTCTGGTCAGGAAATCTCCCTCGACCACATATTCACGACCTTGATTGGGATAAACGACGTACTTATTTCATTTTTCTCCTCTTTTCCTTCCCTCGCCCTGACACACATTTATTTTTCATTGTGATTAATACTGCCGTGGGACGCATCGGGCATTACTGGCTCCCAACGGGCCCCATCCCTGGAGGTTTTTAGCCTGGTTCAGGATGGGTCAGTGCTGCCTGCTTCATTACGACACGGCATTGAGCAATCCATAAAAGTCTATCTAAGCATCTGCCAGCTCCAATGGGCTGTGTGATGGGCCCTAATCGGACAGGCTTTCCTCTGCTTTTCATCACGGCTTGGTTATTACAGCGGCTTTAGGACACAGCTAATTAAACAATTTAGAAAAAAGCTTAGATTTGAGGACGTTCATTCATTACTATTGATGTTATGATAATAATAATAATATAATAATTGTAAATATTATCATTATTATTATTATTAGTTTTAGTAGTCGTATTAACAATTTTAGACGCCATTAATTTTTTAAATGTCATTTGAAGAAAATAAAAGTATATTTTGTCACCCACACTTTGTAGAGTGTGAAACACTCAAATATCAAATATATATTATTCCCAAGACTAGGCCTCCATCATCGCTCCCAGCCAGACTAAAAGCTAATCCTTCATTTTCCAGTTGAATTTGAGCTTGAGTGTTGTCCAAATCTCAAGGGACTCCCTTTCACCTTGGTTTTCCTCCTCCTTCTTCCCCCCTTGCCTCATCCAAGGAAGTAATATTTGGCTGCCATCAAGGATGTAGTGGAAGGTAAACCCACCCAAACTCAGTTAACCCACCGTTTAGGCTGACAGAAGACTTTGTGACATAAATGCATGGTTTAATTTGCCATGAATGGTGTCAAACGTTCAATAATGTTATTAAAGTATTTTAAGGCAAAACATATTCAAAGAGGACTTTGAAATTGTTGTAATTTTGTTGGGTGTTCTTCCTTTGATCAGCACTGCCTGATACTGATGTATATACCTACCTTCCTATTTACCTTTACTTCACTGGCAACCACCAATGGAAGTCATGCACACTATAGCCCCTGGCCAGCTTCTTCTTCTTCAGCCCAAACACTTTCATTAGGAGTTGATTTATTGAAATGCATGCTCTATTCTCAGGTGGGTTCCCCCGGGGACTCAGCACTGTTGTCAAATAGCACCAGAGGCACTCTCTAAAGCACACACAGGCCCTGCTTGCCTCTCCCCTTCCCTCCCTCCCTCCCTTCCATCCTTCACCCGCTGCTGCACCCTCCAAATGTCAACATTTGTTCTCAATAAAAAGAGTTATTGTTTCTGTTAAAAGAAATTGCTCAGCAACCGGTCGCCTTTGAACACATGAAAAGAAACTTCCACCCCACCTCTTTGTTTGATTGAGAGCAATGGTAGGTGAAAATGGGAGCAAGGCGTCCATTGCACATGACAAACTTCAAGCTGTGAAGCCGTTATGAAACGATTGTGAATTTATGCCACAATTAGTCACAATTGTGCAGAGACTTTTCTGTCCCTTTTGAAGAACCCGCTCTTTGCCTCACATTCATTTAACTATTAGCAGAAGAAACCAGGGTGCCCTTGATGGTCTAGATATTGATCCTCAAGGGCAAAACAGACAATTTACCATTTTGCCAAGTCGACTGAGTATAAGGCCCAGCTAAGCCTATGCTTTAGAGCGAGGGGACAATTTTAACTTATCAAGATATTTTTTAATCCTATGCATTGCATATCAAATACAGTCATAATCCTATAATATAGTTTACCAAAGAGGGTGTGTTCATCCATGCTAAGGACTAGTTGTCATTGCAAGTTAAATTGATGATATCTCAGGGCTCATAGGCTTCATGTGAGTGTAGACTGGAGAGCAAGTGGACTCGTTCCCCTTATCGTTGATCAAATAAGCAGCTCGTATATGCAGATAATTCATGAGCTCTTTGTATCCTTTATCCTCCCATCAACCCTTTCTCCTCCAAAATGCTTCAGACATTAATCTCTGACGCACACCTGTGCGCCACTCCAACAGGCAGTTAACGCAGCTAAAGTTGTATTATAGCAGTAAAGGAATTATCATGTTCTGTAAACAGAAAATGTAATAGTTAATGGGGTGGGATGTTAAATTAGACCAGTAGGAATTGATGCATTTGCTACATATACCAATACTTAAAAATATAAAAAGCCTCCAGTATTCAACTGGCATAGTATTTCAAAGTCTGTGTGAATAGATTTCCACTTATGTCTTTTGCAGGCCGACTCAAGCTGAAATAATTAGCTTTTTTTATTTATTCAATAGGAAATAATTCAGAAAGAAAATTACGAAGAAAAAAAAAGCAAAGGTTCTTCTGGGATTTGAACCAGAAATGTCTGTTATCCAGTTGAAATTCAAATACATAAACTTTGCTTTGATATTGTATGAAACAATGATATCAGCAACAATTCCAAATATTTAATGGCACATTTGTAGTCCTTTATGTGAGCAGAACAGTCTGACAAGAATGTTACCCTTTGATTGAACCTTTCTTTAATTCCACCCTTATCACTCTTATTACTTTCATGGTAAATCCACCCATTAGGACCTAACCATAAATACTGCTGATGTTCAGACTTAACCGTAAGTAGCACTAATATTCAGGGGAGAGTGAGAGACCAAAGAGAGCAGCGCACAAATCAGGTACAGGTGTGTTTAATAACGCACATCAAAGTGGACAGGGACTTTAAAAATGAGTCCGGGGTCCTGTCCTCTCGTAAAGGTGTCAGGTGAAATGTTCACTACTCTGGATGATCAAGGGGAGTAAGCTGTGCAGGATTTTGACCCACACACACACACACACACGCACGCATACACACTGATCCTCACATGCGTCTCACTCAATACCGTACACACACTCTCTCAGACTGAGAGACGCTAATGCTTGTCCACACGACAGTCTAAACAAGGCCATTAGGAGCCTTGACTTCCACTCCTAATTGACAGTTATGTTGAATTCCTGTGTTGAGTAAACACTTCAGAGTAGTGGACCCAACCTTTGCTTCTAAATCAGGCAAAAACTGGAAGTCGGTGTTGGAGGCGGCCGTGAAAACTCCTGTAAAGGTGAACGTAAAAGGTGAGGCACAAAATGCATACAATGTGTTTGTGTTTACACATGCGTGTGTACGTCTACAGTTTTTTTTAAACGTTTTTACAAGTATGCAAACACATGATATTCTGTGTTTTGGTAATCAGGAACTTATATTTGTTCTTGTGCTATGGTTACTCGCTTGCTTAAACATATACAATACAGCAGACACAATCATCTTTTGTTATACAATTCAACATCCTCATTGATTTACATATGTTAACATACTGTACTGCAGTGCTTTTCTCACTTTCCAGTAAATCACAAGTTCTCTGCAGGTCTTGTGTGTCATCAAAAAGGCCACACAATGTGCTTTCAATGTGTGTTTAGAAAGTGGAATGAAATACAACAATAACGCGTTTAAAGTATCAAAAGGTTAAAAAACGGAAATACGTAACGCATTTCACAATCAGAAGGTAAAGTGGGAAACAATGTGAATGACAGAGTGGTAACATGAAGAACCATAAAATAAAAAAAACATTATAGAAGTCCCTCTCTGTGTCATTATTTCCTAAAATTACATGACAACACACATACAGTAAATATGCTCAGTGCAGTCACAGACTACACATGCACACAAACAAACCTGCATTAAAGGTGTAAACGCAGCTTTTATGAAGCAGACAATGCTGCCTGTGCATGGAAACGTGCATGGAAGACCCACACTGTAAGACGAAACAGTCATTCTATCTTGTGAGTATAGGAGTTTACGGATTACGGTTAAGATTATAGACACTACATCAAGAATAACAGTGCAGTGTTTAACTACACATGTTTGTGGGCCAAAAAAATAATAGAAGAACATAATGACAGATATTCAATCCAGTGATTCATGACGTTAAATCATTTGGTTTAAGTGACTTACTTCTACTTTTACAGTGAATACAGATAATAACAAGTTTAATATGCAATTTTTATGTAAAATATAATATGTTAATAGAATTGAAAGAAAATAGTTACATCCTGCATCATACTGGATACCTTATATAATACTGAACTATTTTATATGTAGTGTGTTTGTGTGATAAATTCACAACCCAAGATGTGTTTTAATCCCAAGTGACTGCCCATTGTTCACTTTTTTAGCATACGGATAATATTACTGCATGAGTGTGAATGTGTTTATGTGTGACCATGTGTTCTGTATATCCATAGTATGCCACTATTTCTCTACATGCTGTGATATGCTTCTAAGTGCAGTTAACACTCAGTTAAACCATCCTGAATCACGAACTGTCAGCTTTGTAAGATCAGTGAGTCCAACAAGTTGATGAGGCAGACATGAGGAAACGTTGGTTTTCTCCTCCTGTCTGTCTGGAGTGTTTTATAAATGAGCTCAACCTGTCTCCACAGAACCTTTTTTCCCCATCACGTACTCTGCGAGACATATCAGGGAAGTGGTTCATGTTAAATAGTATCTGTCAGACTTGTCGGCTAATTAAATGAAGCTTTGCTTTAAGCGTACACTTTAGTGTCATGACTTTTTACTTGATTCTACAGCTTTCAACCGAAGCTACTTGCACTGAGTAATGGGATTGTGTTCAAATCAAACTGCATTAAATATGAATGTATTGAAGAGAAACTGTGACCGAAGATGCTCGTTTTAATGAAAATAACCCAGAAGACATGCCTTGA